TGAAGACTTATTCTCACCTGCGTGGACGACGTGAGACTGGGGACCACCTAAAGCTTACCTGCAGTTAAAAGGACGCGCTTGCGACAACTCTTCGGAAGATACCATTCTAGTAAAGGTAAGTTTTAGGTCGAGAATTTCACTCAAAATGCCAAATAAACGTAGCAACTACTGAAATTACAAAGTACACTATGGAATAAATTTGACACCTTCACACAATCTTACTAAATTCTTCAAAATGACTTAAGGTGATTCATATCTTAGAATCATAGATTTAACTATAATAGCACGCTCAAATAACTTCTAAACAAAACAACAAAAATGCTGGTATAATTTCGATTATAAATAATTCCATACTAGAAAGATTACGATAGATTTATAGCGATAATGCAACAATAATTTTGTTAGAAAAGAGGTTTATAAAGATATAAAAATTGATTTATTTTTTGACATGTTGACATTTTTGACATGTCGCCATTTTAGTTGGGTCTGTCCTCCCCTTGCCTTAGGGTAACAATGGTACCGCCCGTGTGACCCCCCCGCTTGAATGACCTTGCCCTGCAGCTAGTTACGTGAGACAAGACAAAAGACAGACACCTTTCCCCACACCTGTAAACAGGTTATGTGCAGGTAGATAGCTCAGGTAACATTTGCTAAACATCCGATCTACATGTGCCCGTACGGTCGTTGACTTTTTAGTATTGACTTGACCGTGCGATTCTTGGGTTTTTAAACTTCAGACAAAATATCTGTTAAAAAATAGATAGCACAGGTAACATTTAATAAACATGCGATCTACCTGTGCCCGTACGGTCGTTGACTTTCTGCTTTGCCTTGACCGTACGATTCTTGGGTTTTTAAACTTCAGACACGTGTATACAAAATATCTGTTATAAAGTATATAGCCCTAGTAAAATTTGCTGAACATACGATCTACCTGTGCCCGTATGGTCGTTTACTTTTGCTTCACTTTTCTTGGGTTTTTAAACTTTAGAGACACGTGAATACAAAATATCTGTCAACTACTGTAATATGAATTGTAACATCATATATTGGTACCGATTCTGTATGTAGACACATGATATAAGTACATGTATAACGTATTTGGTAATAATTTAGCAACATAGTGAACTAAATACTTTGGTTAAAAACAGATTTATTAATCTACAATGAAGAGATGATCTTTCTTTTCTGTTTCGCCGTTATCTGTGAATTGTCTAACTCACCCCGTAGGCCTGTTCTATTTATAAGTGAAACTTAACACATTTTACAATAGGTGTTTATCATTCTATTCACTTAGGATAATTGTCGGCTGACAAACTTAAAGGCATCCAAAGTAATTTCAGGGTGGAAAAAACAAAACAAAAAATATTCTGGATGAGGTACATTTTGTCATCAGTCTGAAATTGGCATTTAATATTTACTGTCATTTCTGAGCACATTTTCTTCATTATTAAATACAGTGTTTGAAATAGCCCAAAACAAGCTTCGTGAGGCGTCTCTTTATTTTGGGGTACCACCCATAAATAGCTAGAACTACTAGTAACCAGCGATACAAAACACGGAATCGCATATTTTTGCCTTACAGATATCATTATGCTTACTAGTCAAGAATGGCGAGAAAATTGACTTTGTATAAAGTCCAGTTTTGCCACTTTGCATTTGAGGTTTTTTAACACCATCAAATGCATGATTTTTCATGTTTTTTTTAAACCACCTTGTCTACCTAAAAGTAGACAAGGCTTCCAGCTTCGATAACTCACAACCAAGAAAGTTACAAAATAAAAGGTAGCCCTCCTTGCGCCAACTAATACATGTACTGAAAAAATCATTTTAGTTCGCAGAGACTTTCAAAAACGACTGTGTACTTTATTTTGTCGGATATACAAAACAATGTCTTGTTAATCTCCAAGCAGATATTTTGTGGCTGCAACACAGTATCGAATTGGCAAGACAGTACCAAATTGGCTGACGTAAAAAAAAGCATACCAATGCAAAACAAGAAAGCCCCCCCCCTTCCCAAAGTCAAATATAAGCCAAAAGCTAAACCTTTCCTCGGAGAGTAACGTTTCATATCTAAATGGAGAAATTTTGTGACATTTTGGTGAACGATTTGTCTAATTTTGTCAGCAGTAACAACCTAACTATCTGACTGACGCGAGCATTGTTCGGTTTTTCGCTCGGATGGTTTTCGGTGACCCCGCAAACCCGACTTTTCCACTTATTGTCTACAAGTCACTTAACATGTCACATCGAGTGAGAACTATTTGTAAACAAGTCACGCAGCTAGCTATAGGGCGCTGGGGAAAGCTGTAGCCCGTCCGGCCAGTTTTTGTGCAAGAATTAGCTTATACCTTATTTGGTAGTCATGGAGCGGAGTGCGTCATAGCCGCTGCAGTACCAGAGTCGTCCGCTGTCTCAGTGGCGCTCGTACGCGGTGTTGCACGCAGTGGTTCACTGTATGGAAACATCAGCACTGATATTTCTATCGTAAAGGGGATATCTTTGCCTAAAAAGGCAGTGAAAGTGAGAGATATAAGCGAAAAGACGAGAAAATGGCACAGAAGAGAGAAGCAAAGGAAAGAAAGAAAGGAAACTATACGTAATGCAACGTGTTTGTTTAATACACATAATCAAAATTAACCTTCTCCCTGCTGACTAACCCCATAACCAATAAAATTTGGTGACGAACGTCTACCTTAGCATCCTTAGCAAACGAATACATATAACACTTGGAATAACTCCTAAGTTATGTTTTTATTTCCTAACTTACTCGGGAGAGACAACGATCTGCTGCAAACTCTCGCGTGTTCGGGCGGGACCACGCGAGAGGATGACGTCACTAAGTTATGCAACACCACCATGTTTTTTCAGACGTACTTTCCTTTATATGCAGATCTAACGGCCATAAGTACTTGAATACAAATAATTTGTATAACATAACTAAACGGGAAAATAATTTAAAATATATGTAATAACATGAAATGAAAAACACTTTGTAAATGTCATTTGAGCGATTTTAATGACTAAATGAAATTTGCATCCCACAATGAAAAGCTCGCTTTTGTTGAAGTGGGCGATTTTTAATGACGGTAATAGGTTCATACTTACCTGGCAGAGATGGCACCGTGATCACGCCGGCGGTCCGTCATGAGCGAGGCCTGACCATTGCACTCCGGTCGGGCTGACCCCATCGATTACCCCAAATGCGGGTAACTCGGCTGCGTAATTTATGATAATGGGGGTCTGCGTTCGCGCTAACCCCCGCCCATACAATCCAAAAATAGTACACACAACAACACCATCTGTACACCAGGGACCCTACGCTTGTAGCCAAGCGTGCAATCTACCGAGGTCGGGGCGGGTTCTCTTCGGGGCTGCACGAGCTCTTCCCCGCCCGACGCAGCGAGATGCACCGGTAAGATTTTGCACGACGGAAGCCCCACCAACTCCTGGCGTGCAAAATTTCTAGAGCCCGACGACAGCCTGCCTTTAACCATGATAGACTGGATACCATGCCACTTGCCACCATACCAGGCTACTTCTCTGATTGCCCTGTCTGGTTGTAGCTGACTTGTCTTAGCCTCTACCAGGCTAAGGGGCGGCGAACTGTTCTCTCAACGGCCAAACTCCCTTAGCATGCTTATCTCTCTATTTTGGCCGATTTCTACTCTTTCCAGCCGCCTCCTCAAGCCTGGTAGAGGCTAGACTTGTCTGCTTGCGCTGGGCGGGAGGACACGCTGGTAGTGCCGTAAACATAGCGGGGAGCCACAGCGGTCTATTTTACCAGGCTACACGACCGGGGATTAGCCCTGGGCCAGGAGATTTGCGTTGTGATTATGAAAAAAACTGTAGACAATATAATCTTCCTAGATTTCGGCAGTTAGATCTGCCCTTTTGTGATTTTCTCATTGCTACTTGCCGCACAGCATTTGGCAAAATCCCCGTCCACTTGCGCCCTCTAGCAGGGCTCTTTAAACTGCAGCTACAATATATCCTAGTGGCTGCAAAATGGATTTTGTCCTGATACTCAGCGTTGTACGTTACGCTTATCATTGTTAGTGCGAAAAATCAAACGATGTAGGTTCAACGAGAATTGTGAGCCAGCAGTACAAAATGGGCAAATGGGAAAATTCACCTAAACGATATACTTAATGGGCATGACGTTACACAATATAAATGCAAAACGAGCCAATACGACAAAAATAAGCTTACATAAAGTTTTAACCTAAGGGAAACAGTACAACAACATTTATCTTTTAAACTATATTTCATGCACTGCAGTGTTACCTTGATAATGTTGCTCTCTTGGACTGCGGTGTAGCAAATTGCAAATTCTTTGGACAACATAACGTGGTAGGCAAAAAGGCCCCTCCACGGCTTGGCCCCTTCACAATTACCATTCCCTAATACCACAGTAATAGCTTGCCTCGCGTAAGTGCAGTACAATTTAGGGCCTGTATATAGCAGTATGAGAACAAGTACAGGTCACTAGAGACCTCTACCGGAATGGTTTCAAATTGCAGGTAGCTTCCCATTCGATGATACCATTTTTCCCTCTTCTTCTTATTGACGTGTTACACACACATGTAGGTGATGACACAAAAAGTACTAAAAGACAGTCACTTTTTTTCAAAAACAAAACTTTATACATTTCAAACTGAAAAGCAAGTGTATGATTCTTGTATGTCTCTGTACCGACGACTTAAAGAAAAAAAAGTCTGCAAAACTTTATGCTTTACATTCCTCATGTGCTATTTGAAGGCAAATTTATGATTCCATTGCAAGCACCAATGTTGTCATATGTGAAGAGGAACAAATGTACATTCAGTCAACATAATGCTTTTGTACAAGTACATGATTTCTATTTGTTTCATAATTCCATTTCGCACTTATGACACATGCTTTGATTTCTTTCTGCAGTGCAAAGACTTAAATCAAAAGAAACTATGTAATACACCTATGATGCTGTACATCAAAAATGTAACAAATTCTGTTAAGTCAAGGCGAAAGACAAAAAATAACAGTATTCGATACTGTTTTTAAATTTGCTATTGCTCAAAAGCAGAGATCATAACGCTATGTACATTTGTAGATATAAAATTCAACTCCTTTGCTGAACATATTTCAATCATAACAATTTCACTCACAAGATTGTCTGCAATTATGCAATGTTCAAAGAAATGTTTTAAACAACCAAATCATATTTCAGTACAAAATGTATGTCTACCATCTAATTAGGCCTTATTTTCATATAGTTGTGATATGGCTTATTTCTTGACAAAATTTGACAGAACTCTATTTTGAAATATACATGCATCTATGCATGGTACCTTAGCCAATAGCAGTGACTCAATTTTCTTTTTCTGTGCAGTCAAAACTGTCCTAGACGACCACTCTGGGGATTGAGACAATCTGGTCTTTATGGACAGGTGGTCGCTATGCTATAGACAGGAATCTTCATGCTTGTGTCAATGGGAAAAAATATATAATGGTGGCCAGGTGGTCCTTTTGTAGAGGTGGTCACTTGTGCAGGTTTGACTGTACATTTACATGTTGGATTTGGAAGACTTGTTTCTTTCTGCACAAAATATGGAACTTAAAACTGTAACACAAGCACTTTTAAACCATACTGGCTCTCTACTGTATATATATAATGCCGGTGTATGGTTATCAAGCCAAAGAATCACTGTAATTTGATGTTTAACTTCTAATTCGGGTCAAATGCCCTGTATTGCTGTTTCAAGCTCACAATGGAATACAATATTTCAAACTTCCAAACAAAACTCAACAATATAAACATAAACACTTGCTGTGGTCCCGTTATACTTTTTAAAGTGCTACAAAAATATCTACTATCTTACCGTGTTCATATGGCCATGGCTTTTAACTTAACTTATATCTTTGTTTCCTATATAATACATTAAATTCTACCGCCACCCATGCCTTAAAAACTTAAAAGGTACATTGGTAGAAATTTTAGGACATTATTTCAATATACATTTTTGTAGTTCCTGTTATTTTAAATGGTAACACAAGCTTTCTATATGTACATCTTTAAAGGTTTGTTCCTATGTGAATTCCAAGCTTGATCTTTTTGCATTCAGTAGTGTAGACCTGTGTTCTAGCCAGTCCGATTTTTTTTCATCATCTCAATTTCATTTGACAAAATGTCTTGTCCCTTTGCTCTGGTAGGCACAACAATCTTGGATTCATGAAAATTTTGAAATCCTTGACCCTCTGAAATACTGTTTCCTGCATTTGATTTGATTTGATTTGATCTATTGAAATTGCAACAGTGCAATACACGTGGAACAGAGGCAGCTGTTGCTGGTGTTGTGTCCTGCACATAGAGACGGATACTGGACAGACAATACTCATTTTCACTTGAGTCTAGAGGGGAAAGTCGTGTAAAGTGCCTTTCCCAAGGGCATAAGATCGGTGGCATGTCAGGACTCAAACCCGGGACCCCTTGATTCCGAGTCGCGCACGCTGCCGTTGCGCCACACGACCCCACACATTTTGAGGGACAACTGTTGCTGCTAAACTAAGCTTACAAGATTTTTGTCTGTCAAAAATGACAGATTGGGAAAATTTTTGTCCGTCATGAGTGGCAAAATTCCGTAAAATGATGGATAGATGGCTTCTGACTAGAACACTGGTCTAGATGACATTCCTATCACGTATATATGGCATTCAGTAGCTTTCCTTAAAATATTCATTGTCATATTCATTGTCAATATATACAGATTGTTATATCATTACAGAAGCTTTCTGCGGCACATGTTCTTGTTATGTTATTTGTGCAGAATCTTGAGTGAGTGTTTTTTGTCTCTAGTCATACGACATTATAGTGGATGTGATGAAAGATTCTCGGATACTAGAACAGTATATACATGTACATGCCCCCCTCCCCCTCAATTATACACTGTAGGTCAGGGAAGGGACCAGTAAAAGACCTTCACTTCACTTCAAAACACATTTGTATGTCAAACCTCACGTCTTTACCCCCACTGCAAAGTTAGCTTTGTCAGGCTTCTTTGAGTACAAAAAGTGGGATTTTAAATTAAAGAGCTACAACTGAAAAATAAACTGTCTCATTGGGTGAGGCTAGTGGTAAACATGTTTAGGGATCAATTTTAGGTCAACACATGGCAAAGGTCACAAATTTGAGCATAATTTTAATAAATTAATACACTTTCTTCTGTCCTCCCTTGCAGAAATCTGGAACGTTCTGAGCAAAGTTTGCCCAGGAAATTGAATATGTCCATTTTTGGTCCCTCCCTGTCACTATGCTAATATAATGATGATGATTTTGTGAGAGCTTTAAAGTTTTGTGAAGAATCAGACTTAACTTTAAGCTCTCCTGTACATATTTCACTCCATTTCATCATAAAAAAACAACATATTTACATCTTCCATTATGCAAAATATATAACCTTTCCCTATTTGATTTCACATATTAATATCTGATAGCTTGCATTGTCTTGGTTATTTCTAACGAATTTCAACATCTACAATGTACAATAAGTACTCATTTCTGTTTATTGCAGATTTTGATAGTCTTTTGATTACTGCAAGCAATTTTTAATGCTAATTATAAATGCTGTGAAATTAACACATTTTAGTAATTAGCATTCTATTAATTAGCCCTGTTAATTAGGTCCGTAAAATATAGGTCAACCTTCTATCTATTGCTGTAGTGGTTTTGCCAGCACATTTTGTTTTTCCTTGTAGAGTGCACAGAATCTAACCATGGAGGTAAAAAAATCACACTTCTTACCTCCATGCTGTAACATTTCTAAAAAAAAAAATTTTTTTCCACCCCCTGATGCAAAATGAGATCATCCAAATTTTTCATTCTGCAGTGACCTTTCACCTGGACCTAACCATTACCAAGTAGGGGGTGCATGGCTACAACGTGGTGACCTTGACCTCCAACTCCTCATCGGCCACCCCAGAGTCAACGTCGTTCGGCGAATACGGCGTTTTTGGTGGTTTGTACGACAAGAGCGCCAAGAAGAACCAGAGCGTGGACAGGAACTTGTAGATGATCGCGGGAACGAGCATCCATTTGCTGAGGTTGGCGTTTTCGTACTGGTAACACGAGCCCTGCTCCGAACACTTCTCCTGCCACAGGATACACGTCTGGTCGATAATCGCGCCGAACAAGATCGGGCCGGGGATTGTACCTAGAGGGGACATAATAGGGAGAGAAAAACTTACAAACATGTTCACACCAACTTGAATAGTTTACATATTGTTCCAAGACAAAAAGAAGAACTCACCATGAATTTTGAGTTAAACAAAAGAAAAAAAAAAGAAGACTGCAGAAACTCCAGAATCTAAAGTCAGTGCAGTGGACCTTTCATCTGACAAAGGTCGACAAGTTTGAAAAATCTGTCTTGTAGTGTTGGAACAAAGTTTACCTTTTCAACAATGGATTCTACCAACACAGATGAGCTTTTGTTTGGATGTTAACACTAACAATAGCAGGAAGCATGTACAGAATACTGCTAAGAAACAAGAGGCTTATAATGCAGGGTTTTTTCTAAACACTCAGGGGAATAGGGGAGTTGCTCCCTCATGTAACCAGCCAGCTCCCTCATACCAATTTTCAGATTGAATAAAATTTTCAGATTCAATAAAAATAAGATTGAACCTTAAGTGGCCTTTTTCAAAATGATCCTTTTCCAGAAAGATGTAAAAACAATGCATTCTACCATTACAAACATGTTAGTCTCATAAAAAAAAACCCTCAGTCACTTCGCTTCCTCGCCATGCTTGCTCCCTCATGCTAACTTTTTCTAGAAAAACCTCTGTAATGTCTTGATGAATAAAGAGAAAAAGCAAAGAGACTGAAACATACCCAGGACTCGAACAAGAATCCACTGTATTCCAACTGCTAGAGACTTCTGTGTATCAGGAACACATCTGGAAAGTCAAATTCGACATATTTTCATTTATAATTCAAAGTACACATCTGACCAATCAGGAACAAGAACACAATCCTGGGCGTAATCAGGACTGACCAGAGACAACCAATGAGAAGAAAACATCTGATTTAAGTACCCAATCAGCATGTAGATACCAAACCAAGACGGTACAATAAGAAGAGAAGTTCAAATCAAATCTGCAAAGTCAAACTTGACTCGTTTTTAGTTTCAACTCAAAAGGAACTACATCTCTAGAATACAACTGGCCAATCAGGAACAAAAATCTAATCCTGGGCATTTTTAACCAATCAGGACTGACCTGAGCGTTGCCATTAGTAATGGGATTTGAATTTTCAGTTATAATTCGAATTGAACAACATCTACATACAACTGACCAATCAGGAACAAGAACATAATCCTGGGCATTTTCAACCAATCAGGACTGACCTGAGCGTTGCCGTTAGCGACGGGATGGACAGCAGGAACATGGAGAGGATGATAATGAAGAGAACACCCAGGAAGAGTGGTTGGAGGTACGCACACTCCGGCGTGCACTTTCCTGGTACCGCTGTCGTCATGTTACTGAACGGATCGGGCGCGATGCACGAACAGTTGGTGTACACCTAAAAACAACAAGTCAATAATCAGCATGTTAGTTTTATTAACCAATCAGCAGAGGGATCTAAATCAAACCATCCAATCAACATGCAATACTAAACCAAAAAGAACGAATGAGAAGAGAAATTCAGATTGAAGCATCCAATCGGCCTGTACCAAACAAAAACGGTTCGGGGAAAAAATCAGCCAATCAGAGTGCAGGTAGTATTTTTGTTGACCAATGAGAACCAAATTGAATCAAAAGGAGAGATTTCCCACCTTGCCACCTGATTGGGTGGTCAGGCCTCCACATCCAGCGTGGCATGGCGAGAAGTAGACCGTGTTGTCATTTCCGCAAACTGGATCATACCGGTCACGGGAGCAATGGCAGTCTGTGTTGCACGTGCTAGTGAGACTGTATGATGTCTGATTTCTGTGGTAAAAAACAGAAAAACATACATTAAATTTTACAGTAACTATGAAGTGAACACTACTGGTCAAAAGGATTAGAATTAAAAAGCAGTTAAAGCAATTAAATTTAAAAGCAATTAAATGTCTTCTACAAAAATTCAAATTGATTTCGGGCTTGATTACGAGCCTAAGATAAGAAAATGGTGACAGACGTTTGGTTCTAATCATTGACCTTTTGTGTTTAAAATGGAAGAAGAGGAAACAGACGGCTATTCCGAGATCAGGGTGCGCCAAAGGGTTGCACTTGGGCCAATTTTTCAAGTTTTATATTTTTCTACTTTCAGTGCAGAAAATCGCACTAGAGGTGTTGCCATACATTGCACTTTTTAAATTTTTGGATAGAGACGTTCAGTTCAAAAGTTGTGCTCTATCCAAACTTAGCCCACTCATTTCAGATGTGGCCGGCAACGGACACTACAGCTAAGCTGTAGTGTCCGTTGCCGGCCACATCTGGCCACTCAAGTACATGACAAGAACACCAAATCTTGCAAGACCTGTCATTTAGGGGTTGACAAAATGCTACAGAAATAACATAAATGACAAAATTACTTCAAGATTGCAACAAAATGTAATTAATGTACCTATATGGTATACTTGGCAACGGACACTACATGGCAACGGACACTACACCCTTGAGGTTTTTTGACATTATTTCATATAATTACAGCAATAGACTGAAATAGCTACTGTGTTTTAAGTCAGCATCTTCAGCTGTTTCAAAACCTGAAATCATATGCACCCACAGCTTTTCTATTTTAAGTTATTACCGAGCAACAGACACTACACATTTTCTCCGACAAAAAAGACAGGTAACTGTAAGCCATCAGCCATATTAACCCAAAGGACAAGCAACATAAAAACACATGTTTTGTGTCATATATGGATGTACCTTGCATAACATACAAAATGGCCAGTTCTATCACCATCCTTTTTAGTACAGGGAGATAAGTTAATTGCGATGTGTTAATTTATGAATTTTACATAACGTGTACAACATATTGATAAATGCCCTCCAGAAAAGAGAAATTTCCAATCATCATCAGGTTTTTTGCAAAACATATCAGACTGAGCATGTCTGAACATATTGCAAATCTTTTCATTCCATTTTTTTGTTCCCAAATTACTTAAAAGCATATTTCAAAAACTGGCATTTTTCAAGTGCAACAGCATAACGTAGATTTTATGCCAATTTCTGGTCTTAAATTGGCCATAGCATAAGTTTTAAATATCTTAACACCAAATCTCTTCCTGATTGTCTGGAAAATAACTGTACTACATGTAGTATAACAAGTTTGATAAATGTCAACAGAATGCGATAAATACAGAGTAAGACTGACATAACGATGCACGATGCCATTGGCGCATCCTGATCTCAGAATAGCCGCAAGCAAAAACAATATGCTTTCCTTCGGTAAACATAACAAAGGCTCATTGACAAACAAACAAGAACTTACAGTCCCGTGTAGGCAGTGTTGACTCCCGCAAACGGCACGTTGTTACACTGCAGGAGAAACACGAAGCAGCCCAGCAGTCCGACCAGGCTGAACGCCAGACAGAACCGGATTATACCGACACACTTCAGTTTGAGCCGGTTCACCAGAACACCACCTAGTATAGCACCGCCACCTGCACCAGGCACCACCACAAAACCTGGAAATGAAAAAACAAGATTCGTTGATTATGAAAAACTGTTCTCCAACTCAAAATTTGACTCACCAGAAATTTTCGACTGAATCACTCAGTCTTCTCAGCTATCTGACCCAAATGCTGTGGACACGTGATTTTTCCCACGTGTGACGTCAGCAAAGGGTCAAAGGTTGTCTGAAGTCGCTATCGCCCCCCGTCCCGGTTGATCGATGAGTGATGGTTGAATTTGTTGATCATATTGTCATAACTTCTATCATCAAAGCTGAAGAAGACTACTCAGGGGACTGATAAAATCTGTCAATTGGTCACTAAAAACATTCTTAATGCTTGTGTCAATGGGAAAAATCTATTGGCTAGGTGGTCCTTAAATAGAGGTGGTCACTTTTACAGGTTTGACTGTGTGTGTACCGGTATCTGTATCATTCTGTATTGTTCAACCAGTAATATTTGTTTTGGTTGACATGTCCTGTTTCCAATGATTGACTTCTTGTACTCTTTGTTCATATTATTTATTATCTCTATGTTTAAGTAATTGATTGTCTACATGTATGTCCTTTGTAACTTGTTCTGTCTTATGTTGGGCTACCTTGGAAATCAGTTGTCCTAAACTGAAGGTACCACCCAACCGTTTTTAAGTCAATAAATAAATAAATAATAACATGGCAGAACACACCAGTTTTGCAGGCTGTTTATAGTAAACTTGGAGTTTGAGGCTGTTGTCCAAATGTCATTTGCAACAAAATTAACAAGACTGACTCTAGTAGTAGTAGCATATTTGATGATCCTTTTCAACATCAGATTCTGTAGGAAATAAACCATCTAGATGTTTTTCAACAACAGAAAACTACTAGTATTCAGGCTTTAAGATTCTTGAAGGTTTAAAATTATTAGATTTTTCTTACCCATTAACATGGATGCAGATGAGGCACTAAGCCCAAATTGTGACTCCAAGAACTTTGGACCAAACGTTGAGAATCCCGTGAGCAGCGTCCCTTCCGTGGCACCGGCGAGATTGAGAAACATGAAGGTCGGATTCTTCAGCAGGTATAAGATGGACCGCGGAAGGTCTTTCAGAGAGCGACCAAACTCCGGATCATTCGCTTTGGTGTTGGTCGCTGTTGCGTGGACCTCCGACTCCCTCATCATGCGATGCCTCAGGGAACCTAGGGGGGCATGGTACATATGATGACATCATACATGCCTTGTACATTTGCACTGTTTAACCTTCAATCTGCTAAGCTAACTTTTCTGCTCCAAATTTGCATTGGTTACAGGGTTAAAGATTAATGTGTTGCTAACTAGATACACTAGACAGTATGAAACAATATACTGTGCTTTGACTTGTTGATAACAATTTGATTATTTTTAATTCTCTAAAATTCATAATATGCCATAGCTGGTTTGGTGGAACTTTCTTTTAAAAAGAAAAGTTTGTTTATAATATATGTCAACCACAAGACTTGTATGTTTAGGCAACTTGTTAGGTTGAAGTGGGAGAGAATTGACCAGTCAACAAATGGTAGCAGAGGGTTCTGTAGAATGTACTACAACTGGACCTCTAGTGTTGTCCATGTTTGATCCACAATGACTTGACCAGTCAACATTACGTACCTGGTAGGTTCTTCGGGTAGCCCAAAATGGGGATGGCGACAGCCCAGGACATGATGGCAGCCAGGAGAAAACCTACCCACCACGCACCTACCCACAGGGGGTGGTCTGGGGTGATGTCAACACTGAAATTTACAATAAAGTTAGAATTATATACTGTAATTCCACATTTTTTTTCACTGTACTGTTATGTTCACTGTTTTCACTGTCTGTTCTGTACCGTTAATTTGAACTTATCATAATTACAGTTGACAAATAATTCCTGGACTTTCTTTTTCCTGCACCTGTCGCCACCGTGAATATTTAGTTTCGTGAACATGTCCATTTTTCTCAGATTTAGCTACTATGAACACAAAGTGAATTACAGTAGTTTCTTTCACCTTGTCTTGAAAGTTCATCTGTGTTGGTAGAAGTCATTATGAAGCAGTTCAAACTGTAATTTCCAACACAAGGGATTGGACTTACCCAAATTTTTGACAAAGACTGGAGTTGCACAGTCGACAAGTCCAATTCCCATTGTTAGAAATTACAGTTTATACCTAGCCTCTTCATATATTTTCTTTCATCTTTGTTCAGAAACAAAAATGCAGAAAAAAACAGCACAATATTCTACGTTGTACTTGTGAGTTAATACGCACACATGTACATTGTATGCCTATAGGGTTTTGTCAAATAAAAATGAACAAGGGAGCATGTCTCTGGATCCTGAGTAGATGCCTCCATCAAAGACTCAGTAATATACTAATAAGACTGAGAAAAAGTAGGGGCTGGAAAGAGAGCTCTGTTTACAATATACAACATACAGTACCTGGTGAGTTCAGTGAAGAAGCCCAGGAACTGGCTGCCCATGAGGTAACCTGCAGCTGGACCAATCAGGGACAGGCCGTAGAAGACACCTGGAACAGCGTTTCAATATTACAGCTTATTTCATGGAAATTATCCACTATATAATTATCTAATATTATGTGGATTATACTATACAAGTAATACATTGTACAATTTGTAGCAGCAATATATTTAAAAAATCCAAAGATGTATGTGGCTTGAAGTTGCATGACTTGGACAATGTATGAGAGAGCCAAACTTTTCCTTCTTTGAAAAGACTCTACCTCAGAGGTGTCACCAAAAAATGCTAAATAATTTGCTTCTTGCTAGTGCTGCATACCTAAACCCAAATTTAGGGTCAGTTCCGGATTCAAGTCCAAAGGTTTAGGTTCAGTTCCAGACTTGTAAGTCCGGACCTAAACCCATGGCATATACAAAATTGCATGTTGGCAACCTTGCAATGTTGTCTGGGTGAAACTTTGGCCACATAACATGGAGGCCGACACTTGGCGATGCCCAATGGCAATGTTTTCTTCATTTTGCAGCAAAGATTTTGTAATCTAAAGGAGGTTTTAGGTGGTTTGGAAAGAAAAGGGGTATGTGAAATGGCCTTTTATGGTAATAAGTCCAGACTCAGTTCTTGACTTTTAGGGTTTTTTTTTTGCATTCTTACAAGTCCGGATCCAAGTCCAGTGAACCTGTATGCAGTACTACTTCTTGCTTTACTTAATTATGCACATTATAAGTAGCCTTTCCACTGGTCTAGAAAGGAGGCCAAATCAGCCCCCAACAACGAAAAACTGTACAACCAACACCTACATTAAGCATTTCCACAGCAATTTTTGAAAATAAATGTTACTGCTGCAACACTGTAAGAAAAACGCCCACCTAAGTACACAGAAGAGTACGTTGCCTTGACGTTTTCATCCAGGTACGTCACACCGAGGGTGTAGAGGGGGGTCGCGCCCATACCATGCAGCAGCTGCCCCAGCATGTGTAGGTACTTGTAGTTCGACAACAGCTTATCGTCCTTCATGCACATATCCGTGGAGTTTGCGGCGATACTACACGTGGATTGCATCCCGATGGATTTGTATTGGTACGTGGGGGTGAGGAAGTGCGGTAAGGCGAAGACAAGCGAGCCCAATCCCATGATTATTGCTCCGCAGCCCAACCAACGTGGCTTGCGCCCGGTCCCGCCGAGATAGCTCACCACTACAAGGCACAGCACCGACGCGATGTCGTAGCAGCTCGCGATGAGCCCCGTATCCGAACTCTGCAAACTGAACCGCTTCTCAATCGTCGTAATCACGACATTGACGAATCCGTTCACCACCATACCTTGCGTGAACGCGAGCCAAGACAGGAAGAAGAGAATTGCCTTAGGGTTAGCGAAGAACTGGCAGCAAGCGGGGCTGAACGGCCCCCACCCGCAAGTGGTCTCTTCCGGGTCTTCGTAATACACGTGGGACATCTGGCTGATGCCGGATGTTGGGGTGGTCGGCGAATGCGAGGCCGTGCCATTTCTGTATCGGTCCTCTCGTGTTGGGACGAGCGTGTCCATTTCGGGTTGCGGGGGACCCTGCGAGCTCTGATCGCTTGTTCGTTCTTCTTCGTCACCCGCCATTTTGTTTACGATTGTTCGTACAACGACTCACAAAACTTTCTGTATTCCCAAAAACCAGTCTGGCAATGCGTCCTTATGGCACAGGGTCTACACAATTGATAACAGATCTGTTATCAACCTAAAAACAGAAGTGTAAAAGAACAATATTGTAGTTGGACGTGTTGGATCTCAAACTATGCACAGTATCTGACTGAAACTCTGCCAGTTTGCTGTAGATCAAGTGTTGCTAGCTGTTGACATTGGCAGATTTATATAGCCGTTTGCTCAGCTGATATCCACCCCCTTGCATAGAACGTGGCCTTTTCACTTGTCCTGGTCTCTGATAGAATCTGACGATCTCTTCTCACCCAACTTGTTGGTTCACAACGGTTTTCTCAGTGTGAAGATCTGTGAAAATACAGAAAACAAGATTCATGAGTTTCCTGTACATGAAATAAGTGAATATTCCTGTAACTGTAATTAGTTAGGTTTCACATACTTCAACTGGAGTTCAGTGCACGTCGGAAGAACATACCTTTGTAAAACCTGGACTTTTAATGGGTTTTTGTTAGATGTTTGATCAAATTGTTGCATCAGAATATTTGGTTATGCCAGTACCTCTTCAGACACAACTATAGGTGGGATGTCCTTAGATGTGCAAATATGACCTTAAACAACACGTTCTGCCGAATGATATGCACAATACATTAAAAGTTTCACTCAGGCGCAGGCACAGTGCATTCTGCCAACTGTCTCTTGCATTTACATTCATTTGAAAACTATTAACGTGATGTCAACCTTAAATGTGCAAATGTTCAGACAAAATAATATTCACACAATCACAACACATTACAAGTTTCACGCAGGCACTGTACATTTTGCCGACTCATATATCTTTTGTATTTACATCCATGTTCATCTCAGTCAGGCAGTATGTGTGTAAACTTTGTTGTATCTGCAGCTGTTTTCTCTGTACATATTGAATTACAATGATATTCTAGTCATACAAGGGTCAATATTGGAAATTTCTTGACCCATTTTATGTTATTGTCAGATGCTCAAATTTCACATGTACACATTTCTACATGTCACATGTGTGACACTGGTGCAAATTTATGACATATCAGTATCAAGTTAATAAAACTAATCCATGTGGCTTACTGTTAATCAGATAAATAATCTATAATCAATTTATCATAAAGCCAATATGATTAAAGGCTTTGAATGGCCATATGGAATATATCAACAGTATTTCCAAGTGATTATATAATAATTTATTATATATATACTGTTCAAAATTCACATCCAACAACAATCAGAGCCAACTTCACAAAAATTGTGAAAAATATTGTGTGCATTTCATAAATTTGAAACATCTCCGGATTTTTGTATTTCCAATATACCTTACAACGATTCATATTGTGTGTTCTAGTTCCATAGATATTTTGTTTCAATGATAATATTACCAGGTTTCATTTTTACAAGCACTTAAGTACTATCTTGGACACTGGGGTAGGCAAAATTGTTTGACTCAATTGCTTTCTTACATGCATACATGTACACGAACATGCCCCAATACCACTATAAAAATATATAGTATAATATTAATAAATACTGAATAATGCCAAATAAGTTGAAAATGCAATGGTTTCAGTACATTTGTCTCATTTGCACACCCAGCAAATAGTGATATAATTACAAAATGTGGGTTTGGTATACAACTAGAGAGACATAGAACAAATTTATACCCTAAACATGCCTATTCCATATAGTTGAGTGGTCCTACTACATGTAGTACTTAGCAAAGATTATTAAGCAGAATTGTTTGACGGACAAGGCTTTGTCCATACATGCACATACATGCCCCAATACTGTATAATAGATACTGCATTGCCAAATAAGTGTAATGGTTTCAGTACAATTGTCTAATTGAAAATTGCATTCCGAGCAAATACATGTAGTGGAATAATTTCAAAATGGGTTTGGTATACTACTACATGTAATACTAAACTAAGTAGACATAGAACAAATTTATACCCTCAAAATGCCCATTCCATAGTTGAATGGTGCTACTAGTACTTAGCAAAGGTACAGCTATAAAAGATATTTCAATCTTGAAAGAATAATGAATTTGCAAAACATGATCAAACATCAGTTGATAATAATCACACTTACCCCTTCACTGAGTCTAAACCTCCCAAATGACAAAACAATGCCATCAACCACGTATTATATCCAGTCACTATTGAGACGCGAAACACATTCCAACGTTCCGCTACGATTGTCACGAATCCCCCAAGCAGACATCCAGGCAATAACTGTTTTGCGTCAGCATTGCGTTGGCGAGGCCACATGACCGTTAACACGGTCTATCGCTCACTACGGCCAAGACTACAAACGCGGGGACGACTGAATGAATGAGGGGCAGCGGCCGGGCTGATTTTTAATGCACGCAACAGCAGCAACTCAATAGAGGGGCTGGGATAGGGGTTTTGAGTTACATCAGATTCACAGGGGGCCAATATAAATGAGTATTAGGTATTTTGGAATACCCCTAGGGTTTCAATACATTAGAATGTGTTTTGTAGCTTTAGGATTTGAAAACTAACACTAAATTGTAGTTAAACAAGTACCATATTTTTGTTTAATTTATTGGTTCTCAGATTTTTTAAGGAAAAATATTAAACAATAGGGCAAAGGCATATACAATATATTATGATAGCCCAAAATGTTACAGTAAGAACCAAGAAGTCAACATACTTAGTAATACTAGGCTGGGTTGAATTTTGAACTTTTGAAGGAATTCAATGATTGATAGATGGAAAAACTTTTAAGTTAACAACTAAGAAGACTATTAGGGCCAGAATTTGGTTGATTCAGAACTTTGCTAAGATCTTTTTTTTGGAACTCAGAAAAAAATTAAGAAGGAAATCCAAGAACCAATTGATCACATTGGCGTGGCCTAAAACTGATTTTAAAAAAAAACAACCTGCATGACAAAAATACCAGAAAAAAGGCAGAGTCAAAAGCCAATCAAATCAGAGTTCCACATGACAAGGTTGCCTGCTGCGGTCAAGTCAAATCAATATGAGCATGACCTTCTGGTCAGCCAGCGACATGGATGGGATATGACCTTGAAAATATTGTATGACCTTGACTGAGGTTGACCACGTAGACAACGTAACACCAGAAAATGGTCAATTCGCATTGGAAAAGACACCTAGAAATCTAAAATCTCATTTTTGAATGTAGAATATCTGAATATCTAATATCTAAAATCTCATTTTTAAATGTAGAATATCTACTATCTAACATATCTTTTGTGACAATATTTAGAAAGCATACAAATAACAATACAGGACAGCATGCTTTTCAAAATTAAATTTGAACTAGAAAGGCCAATATTTGCTTTGGAGCAAATATAGCGATGGGTTCACCACATTTTACCACATGGCAGGGAAAGAATGAGAAACACAAGGGAAAACAATGCTTTACATTGATATAACTATAGTATGAAGTAACATACAACTAAGACTACAACAGTTGGATAGCTATTCCCTACATTATTGGTTAGGATTGCATAATGCAAACTGTTGATTTTCAAGATAAAAAGAAGCGTTCATAGCCCGCATTCCAATGCTGGAGCAGGAAAGCTTAAAATACCTACCAAAACACTTGAATACAGACATACTGTCAGTATGGCATGGCTCTGTGCAGGTGTAAATGAAGTTAAGCCAGTTAAATCCCAACAGCCAATCAGCAAGGAGAATAGAGGAAAGCTGCATGCCTATTGGTTGATGCCTTGCATGCCATTGTGATGACTCATGTCCAAATGTGGTAAACACTGCACACTTACACAGTAATACATTAGCTATTACACAGCCAAAAAACTCAAATAAAACCATTCTAAAAGCCTGTATCACAATAATTTAAAAAACGCCTAGGGGTATTTGCCCACTGTACCTCCATACCAAATTTCAGGACCTTAGGCCCTAAAATGAAGAAGCTGAATCCATTTAAAGATATGGCAGGAGGAGGAGAAGGAGGAGGAGAAGGAGAAGAACCATCAGAAAAAGCAATATGGTTTCACCACACCACTTCGTGGTGTGGTGAACCCATAAATATACACTGTACATAGTTACAAGTGCAAAGTTTTTAGAACTTCAACTTCTAACAAATTCCTTTGAAATTAGGAAAAAAGGCTAGGAATTTAACCTATGAATTGTATTTCTAGCAAGAACCATACAATTTTGTATATAAATGATTAGTTCAAACTAATAGAAGAATAATTCTTCTGTTTAATCTAACAAGAAAATTATTCAAAACAGTAGCAAATTATTCAAAACAGTAGCGCATCTTACGCTAACTTGAGAGCACCAATTACAAATGTACTAGTAACAGGTTCAAAATTTAAAAAAAAGGAAACTTGTTTCAAAAATCATATTTGACCAACAGGCAAAAAGTAGAGTCTCAACTTGATACATCTGAAAACCTAGAAAGTATACGACATTGTAACCTTTGAAACTTTTATAATATGGTGGGTGGATACTACTAGTGTTAATATTACCTGCGTCACTACTACTGGTGGGACGTACAGTTGTACAATCAATGTCTCGTGTCTTCCGTGGTGTAATGACGCATGGAAGCCACACGAGGGAATACGTGAATGATAGGGCATACTACAATAAGGAACATCTGCCAATTGAGCTTTAAATGGCAACTAGTGATACTACGCCATTCAAGTTAGAGGCAAATGTTTAAACTAATAGTTAAGAATTTCCCCTTGGCAATCCGTTGATGATAGTTAGACATTCAAGTAAATGATATGAAAAGAGAATGCAAAACTACATGTACTGTATAAATTATAGAGATAGGGTAAGGGTCTTTTTTGGTGTCACTTTTTGATGTCAGTCTCGAAACATCTGGATGTAATCTTTGTACTTCATCCAGTAGGCCACACTAATTTAATTTCTTGGTTAACAAATTTTCTAGAAAAATAATGGAGCGTGCGGGCGAAAATAAAAAATAAAAACAGGCCTAGGTATCCTATTATGGCCCAAAATGGTACGATAGGAGCCATGAAGTCAACACACCAGGCTGGTTCAAAATTTAAATTTTGAACTTTTGATACCATTTGCATTGAAAGATGGAATAACTCTAACAACTAGGAAGAAAAGGACTGTTTTCAACTATTCAAGGCAAAATATGAGCATTTTGCAGTTGATTACCTTCGCCAAGAAGGTTATGTTTTCAGGGGCGTTCGTGTATGTGTGTGTGTGTGTGTGTGTAAACACTATAACTTGAGAAGGCCTTGATGGATTGTCTTGATACTTGGTAGGTGGGTAGGTCTTGATGAGACCTCAAAAATGATTAGATTTTGGGCCCCCTGGCGGCTTGTCATGGT